CGAAAGAGCTCGACTGCTTCGTGACGGAGCGCCACAATAAGGTGGCAAAGGCGGTGGCCGAACCAGTGGAGAACACCGCGCGCATGGAGGCCACGACGCTCGCGGGCTGCGTATTGCAGCAAGTGCGGCAACTCGAGAAGATGGGGCCGACGGGCAACTCGCTGGTGGGAGCGCGTGCCGAATCTGACGGGTTGCGCTCCGTAGTCGGGGCCGCCGACGTCTCCGTGGCCAGGGGGCTGCGCTGGGAAGGGAACGCCTACAACGTGGGCCAGGTGGTTCGCTCGCGCGGCGGCGAGGTGTTTATCATCGACGCGTGCGCGGAGATTTCTGGCGAACTGCACATCGTCGCCCGCGGGATCGAGATCTCAACGGGCGCGTGCGGCCTCAGCACTGGCAGCGTGGTGAACGAGCTCCTCGTCATCAAGATGTCCGACGCTGACCTGGATGGCGCTGTCTGGGCGTGGCGCGTGAAGAGCAACGGTGACTATGTCATCGCGCACGCGCGCTGAGAAACATATGGAAACATGCGCCGCGCCGCGGTGTGTGTGTGTGGGGAGCGATGTCGATCGCTGGGTGAGGTGAAGCGATGCCGATCGCTTGGGTGAGGAGATGAGAGGAGGAGGATGAGGATGAGGAGGAGGAGGAGGGGGAGGGAGAAAGCGATGCCGATCGCTGGAAGGAGGGGGGGACGGAAAAGAAAATCGAGCGATGCCGATCGCTGGGTGAGGTGAAGCGACGTCGATCGCTTGAAGGAGGAAGAGGAGGAGGAGGAGGTGGCGGAGGAGGGAGGATAGCGATATCGATCGCTGGAAGACGGGCGGGGGGTGGGAGGAGGAAAATAAGATCACTGCGCGCAGCGCGCAACCGTTCAGCTTTGGCGCGCTGCTGCCCCTTGGGCTCGCGCGGGGCAGGCGCGATGCTGCCCCTGGCGGCCGCGCGCAAGCGCGCCTCGAGCTGGCCGAAGGCGGCCGCGCACGACGACGAGACGACGACGACGATGCGACGACGGCGACGAAGACGGCGACGAATGAGGCGAGCTTGCCCGAGCGGCTGCTCGGGGAGGTGGAGCAGCTGCGCGGGGAGGTCGAGCAGCTGCGCGCGGCGAACGCCCAGCTGCGGGCGGAGAAGGAGGAGGCGGATAAGACGACGACGACGACGACAAGACGACGACGAGACGACGACGACGACGACGACGACGACGACGACGACGACGACGACGACGACGACGTGGCGGCGACGACGACGGCGGCGGCGGCGGCGACGACGACGACGACCCCCCCAGGTGGCGCGGCACTTGGCCCTCCAGATCGACATGCGCGACGTCGAGCTGGATCGGGCCGCCGAGCTGCTGAGCGTCGCGCGCCGCCGCGCCGCGGTGCATGCGGCGGCGCTGGCGCAGCTCAAGCAGGACGCGATGACGATCATCCGCCTGCAGAGGCTGTGCGACGCCCCCGAGGCGGAGGCGGCCATGGCGTCGGCGGTGGTCATGGCCGACGCCCTGACGACGCCGCCTCCGCCGCCGTGGTCCCCCCGTGAGGAGGGGCTCGCGGGCGGCGACGGGCGCCCAGGGTCGTCCACGGACGCCCTGACTGAGCCGCCCCCGCCGCCGCGGCCTGCGCCCCCGCAGTGAGGCGGCGCGAGGCTGCGCGCGCCAACAAGAAGCTTGGGGGGGGGATATCGATGTCGATCGCTTGGGGGAGGTAGCGATGGCGATCGCTTGGAGGAGGAGGAGGAGGAGGAGGAGGAGGAGGAGGAGGAGGAGGAGGAGCAGGAGGAGCAGGAGGAGCAGGAGCAGGAGGATGAGGAGGAGCAGGATCTGCATGGGCAGCCAGGGGGCTGCGGAGGGAGGAGGAGGAGTAGCGATGCCGATCGCGATGTGCATGGGCAGCCAGTGGGGCCGCGGGATTTGCATAGGCAGCCAGGGGGGCTCGCGATCTCGATCGCCGCGAGGAGGAGGAGGAGGAGGATGAGGAGCAAGAGAGCGATGCCGATCGCTGGGGGAGGCGAAGCGATGTCGATCGCTTGGAAGGGGGAGGAGGCAGGAGAAGGAGGAAGAGGAGGATGACGATGATGAGGAGGAGGAGAGCGATGTCGATCGCTCGGGCGCGGGTGGGAATATGGGTGGAGCGATGGCGATCGCTCGGGCGGGCGTTGGCGACGATGGGCTCGCGATGACGGCGATTGCTCAGCCGTTTCGGCTCGCCTCGCGAGTGACGCACGGGGCGCTCGCGGCCAAGCGACGGCGCGCGCGCGCGCAGGAGGGGGCGCGTCATGGACGATCTCCCCTCGGAACCGCTGCCACCTGGGCTGGTCGGCGCGAAGCCGTCCAGTGTCCCGCTGCCGCGAGGCGGCCCGTGGCCGAATATGGCCAACGCGAAGTTCTTCAAGATGCCGTCGCCCGCCGCTTTCGTCGCGGCCACCTCCAAGGACGCGGCGCCGCCGCCGCCACCCAAGCGGCCGCGCCTCGAGGTTGCAGCCGTCGGCCGAGAGGGAGCAGGCAATGGAGGTCCAGCGTTCGTGGGAGTTCGAAAGCGCCACCGTGCGCCCTCCCACCGAGGATGAGCTGGTGGAGCTGCTCGCGTCCCTGGGCGGGGATGGGTGGAACGACTCCAGCGTCCTCAGGCGGCTCCAACAGCAGGCCGAGCTGCAGGCGTTGAGCGAGGCGGAGGCGATCTGCTTGACCGCCTTCCGCGACGGGCAGGGCGGCGAGGCGGCCCCTGAGGGTGAGCCCCCTGCGCGGTGAGGAGGCCGCGCGTACACTGAGGACGCGGCCGCGCGCGCTGAGGAGGCCGCGCGCCCCGCCGCGCTCATCACTCTCCTCCCCCCCTCCCCCCCCTCACAGCGATCGACATCGCTCTCCTCCTCCTCCTCCTCCCAAGCGATCGCGATCGCTTCATTTCCCTAAGTAACTTATAAGTATCTTATAGTGTTAGCTTAAGTAACTTAAGAACATCAACTTAAGTTACTTATAAGTATCTTAGTAAGTACCCATAAGTAGCTCATGTAAGTAGCTATGTTACTTGCGATACTTATACATAGGGTGCAACTAGCGTAAGAGCCACCATTCTCGAAGCGCATCCATGAAGGACGCGTGGGCAGAAAGCACAAGCAACAAGTTGCCGGAGCCAGCGCCTCTAGCAGGGGTAGGAGAGGGGGGGACAAAGGGAGAGCGTTTGGCAGTTCCGTTGCAGGCTGGAGCTTGCGACTTTGATGATTGAGCCGACGAGGATCAAGTGGTGGACGCGCTCGCAGGGAATATACCGTGGGTCTGATGTCGGAGGACAGAGAAGCGATACCGCCACCATCAGGGGGACCACGTCCACCGAGGAGGTCCACGATGCCTCCCCGAGACCGGGACTGGAGATGCGTCGAGCACGGCAGGGGGCCAAGCCACCAGGAGTACCCCCCTGGTTTGTTGGGCCGATGGCAGAGGCGTCGTTTTCTTTTGGCTCTTGACGTGGCCAACCGTAGCCATGTGAGCGACGACTAATAACGGGGTCCTCTGCGCCGACATTCGAGCGTAAGCTTTCCGCGGAAGGTCGCGCGTAAGCGCCCTCGGTTCCAATGTAGCATGCAGCGCTAGCGGCACGCGTAAGCCTCCGCGCAAGGTCGCGATGCCATCTCGCGTAAGACCCCGTTCGTTATCTTGGCATCGCTCGGACGTTTGCGTGTTTGTCGGCAAGGAATATTTTGGATCATCCTGCGAAGCAAAGAGCGCACGGCACCTAAACATGCAAGGGTTAGGTCGGGCATGTGCCCCGTACACGCGGATTTTGGACGATACATAGAACATGGTCGAAACATACCCCCCAAATAGCCAAAATTTGTAGAACAATCGTCCCTAGACGTTGTGCTTTTTCGACTCTTTTGGAGTATGGTCCTCCTGTCGAGGCACGCGCCCGACCTCAAAATGCAGGGGGCACACGGACGTCCCAGCGAGGGCCAGCCCTGTCGCTCGCTTGCTTCGTGCGGCCCTCACGGTGCGCCCGGACGCGGCGGCCGCGCCCAGCGATGTGCGCGCGCGGCGCCCGCGCGGGCGCCGCGGCCTCCTCGCCGCGGCGGGCCGCCTCGCCGCGGGGCCGCGGCGCCGCCGGCGCGCCGCGGCGCCGCGGCCGCCGCCGGGGGTTGCTGCCAGCCGCCGCGGCGCTGGCGTGGCTGCCGCGGCAGGCGTCGGGCTGGTCCTCGATCGGCGTCACCCCAACTCAAGCAGTGGCGAAGCGTCCCGGCTCGCTTGTAGTCCCACCAAACAATGTTCTAAGAACCGTTTGTGGTTTGCACTAAATGTTCTTAGAACATGTTTGGCTGAGATTGTCTTGTTTTAACACATCGGGTTTATGCTCTAAGAACATTGTTTGTGTTCTTAGAATATTTTTGGGTTCTCAGAACATGTCGTGGTAGGGCTATAGGAATGCCGGGACGGTCGGCCCCTGCTCAACCAACATGTTTGTATTATATGTGCGTCGCCCCCCAGGGGCGGCGCGCGCACCGAGAGATCGTGTGGTGTGTGCGTCGTGGCGGGCGCTCTCTGGCCACACCGGTCGGGAAACGATGTGCTACAAGATGGGTATACGATATGTTCGGGTCGGACGCGCGCCTCCGAGGAGGACATCTAGTATTAGGAGGGGAGCCACAATTGGGGGAGCTGTGGTCCTTACCCCCCTGGGGGACCCCTCGATTTCGACACCCCTCTCGAGAGATCGTCGATGCGATGGGCTCCCCCAGAGGGGTAAGGACCACAGCTCCCCCAGCTATGGCTGTTCGGATTAGTATGTCCTTGTGCGTCCCACTCTAGGCCTCCCAGACGGGGTCCGAGCAGACGGTGTCGGAGGATCGTGCCGCATCGCCGGTGCATCGGCGGTGCGGCTGGATGCGGAGCCCGATTTGCTTCACGCCGACGTCGCCAATGCGTCGCTGACGTTGGCGATGCATCGCCGATGCATTGGCGATGCGGCGCGACCCTCCGATCTTTTCTACTCGGACCCCATCTGGGAGGCCTCTAGGTCCGTGCTGGTGCTCGGCGGCACGGGGTTCACCGAGGGTCAGAGTTGCGGGCGCGATTGCTACAGTGGGGGCCCCTGCCAAGAAGCACCCTGCTTGCCTCCAGGGTGCCCTGGGTTTCGATGGTTCTGCAATGTAAGGCGTGGCGTTCCCGCACCAACAAATCGATGGATGTCCTGGGGTCTCAGGATTGGGTTTTTTGTGAATGGTTTCTTGTGGTCGAGCCCCTACTGTATCCGGATCCACTGCATCTTGAATTTTCTTGGAAAGGGCGCCGCAAAGCCGAGGCGCACTGGATATTGATAAAAATCGAGCCTCTGGGGGTAAGATTTGTTATCCAAGTTCAGTGCGCCTCGGGTTTCTGGGGAAGGGAGCCCGAAACTCCAGGCTGCAGCGGATATGGAAACAAATCCTGCCCGCAGGGGGTCAGAGTGGGGACAGCACAACCCACCCCCAACCCCAGCCAGTATCTCCATCATCCCGAGTCGTTTTTTGACCGTCCCGGGGCCTGGCGAGGTCACCCAGGGGCTGAAAATTGAGAAAAACCTTCGTCTCGAGTTTCTCGAGACGTTGGAGGTCTGGGTCTGATGCCCGCTCGCCCCATCCAGCAGCATCGGCCGCCCCCTCCGAGGCGTTCCGCCGTCCCCCGAGGCGGCGTAGTCGGGCTGGGGCTGCTGGCTGTGGGTGGGAGCGGTTTGGGGGGCTCCTGGAGGCCAGCAAACCCTTTGCTCCCGGCCAGGATTCCCGGATTCACCAGGTCGGGAGTGCGGCTCCTGGCTGGGGTGAGGGTGGGTTGTGCTGCCCTCACAGGAGGAGGAGGAGGAGGAGGAGGAGGAGGAGGAGGACGAGGACGAGGACGAGGACGAGGACGAGGAGGACGAGGAGGACGAGGAGGAGGAAGACGAACACCACAGGGAATCCTAAGGTTGGTTAAAGAATGGAGGAGGAGGAGGAGGAGGAGGAGGAGGAGGTAATTACGGGTACCACTGCCTTTCACTCGCCGTCGATCAGCAATCAGGGGCAACGTTCGGGGGGGATACGAGGGGAACTTATCGACCCCCAAGCGCTCACTGATCGCCGATAGGGGCACGATTGCCCACCCCGCCCAGGAACGTGCGGATTCGCTGTCCGGGGCCTATCGGCGGTGCATTGCCGATTCCGGCTCGATGTTTACTCCCCTGCGCTGGTACTCCTTGTCGTTGACCCCCAGTCGAGAAGGAAGCCCGGTATAGCCAGAAACTTTCGGAGCTCAGCTCCGCGCGAAGTTCTTAGATCGGCGCTCGACCCCCCTGGCGGCGCCGCCCCTGGCCCCGCCCCTGGCGCGCTCCGTGCGCCAGGGGTGCAGGAGATCCAGCGCGAGATCCGCGCGCAACTCCGGAAGTGTGTGTTCACTCAGTAGTGATTTTTTCCTTCGTTGCCACCACTGCATGCGCCTCAACATCCTGTTCAGAGCGCACAGCAAGAATGGTCTGTGGAGTAGCGATATCAGTGATTCCTGGAACCCCAGAGAGTGCTTGTGTTGTGTACCCCCCCTCCACATGTCACGCGCCCTCCCCTCTCCCTGCTACTCCCCGCCACTGACGCGCGATATGTGCTGGGCCTGTTTCCCACCACCACCACTATAAGTTGGATGGGGGAAGGAGGAGGACGAGGAGGAGGAGGTGGGGGAGGAGGACGAGGACCCCCTTCCCCTCCAACTTATCGTGGTGGTGGTGGAAAACAGGCCCATCAATATGGCCGCACAGGACGCTGGTCTCGCCAGACATCGGCAAACGTGTGTGCCTCTCATCAGTCCTGGCGAGAGGCCTATCCTGGCCCCTGGGCCCGTGCATTGCACGGTGTCCATCTCGATCCGACCGATCCGATTCGAAATAAATGTGTGCCGGCCCGACTTCCAGGAGATTCGATATCCGAGGGCGCCCTCGAGGGTGCGAAGTTATTCGTGCTTCGCGGTTCGGCTCCGGCTCCTCCTCACCCTCCTCTTCTCCCCTGGGAGGCGGCGCGAGAGCGCGACGTTATTCGCGCAGCGCGAAGCGCGAAGTTGGGAGCCCTTGACATCCGATGCGGTCCGATGCTCGCGTGGTCCTGTTGTGCATTCTGGCAAGGCCGATGCGACTCCGTGCCGATGCGGCCCGATCCGACGCACATGCCGACTCAAGCAGCTGCCCCGATGTTCGGTGTCGATTGGATCTTGCAGAGGGTCGGGAAGGTCAGGGCCAGGACGGAACCTGCCAGGGCAGATGATATTGCAGAGTTCTTGGTTTCCGAGGTTCAGAGGGCGCCCCACCACCGAACGGTTGCTGCACGACGGGCACAACGTGACCGTGGTGAGCCGCGGTCAGTTCTACTGGAAGGGCCGCGAGGAGCTGCTGCCTCGGGTGAACCACTGGAGGTGCAACCGGACCCTCACTGTGAACAAGTTGGCGGCACGCACCAGGGTGGGGGGCGAGGAGGGTGGGTACTCTATGGCTCTACGGAGGCAGGTCGCTTCTTAGATGACCTCAGGCCCCCTAGAAAGCAGCCTCAGGAGCATCTGATCGCGTTCAATAAAATTCCCTTTCCATCTTCGCAGGCAGCCCCCCTCGCCCCACCCCTTGTCGTGCGCGCCGCCCAGCAAGAAAGGGGCCGCGCTGGAGAAGTCGTCCGGGCTTGCGGCCTGCAACCAGTTCCACGACGCCGGCTTCTTCGACGCCGTGGTGGACTTCTCATCGAGGAACCACCAGGAGGTGCGGCAGGTGGCGGGGCTGCTGAGCGGGCGCGTGGGAGTGTACGTCTTCGTCTCCTCCCACCTCGTGTACCGGGTGTCCAGGGCCCCCGACCACGACGGGCCCCTGCTGGAGTCGGACGCCGTGAGGCCCGGCCGCGAGGTGTCGCCGCTGGCCCGCGAGCAGGCGCGGGGGATAGATGCGCGCGGCGACGGGGACCTGGACTGTGAGACGGAGCTGATGAAGCAGTACAACGCCGGCGGGTTCCCGTTTGTGGTGCTTCTCGGTGACGCGTGAGGGTGGCCCTTCGCCGGAGTGATCTTTCGTGCGGGCCCTCAGGGGCCCCCCCAGCATTTGCCCCCCCACCCCGCGGCCCCTTCGAATGCCGCGCACCGAAGGTCATTGCTGTTGCCCGGGGTGGGTCACTCCTCATTACGCGTAGCCGATTTTCGGACCGCGAACCCCATCGGGCCGAAGGAGAACAAGATCCGGTATTGGCTGCTTCATCTGTGGATTCGAGCGCACCTTGCGCTGACGCTGCCGCTGCACCTGGACCAGAGCTTGCTGCAGACGCCCTTCAGCTTGACCTACACCCCGGACGTGGCGCAGGCTGTGGTACTCGCGATTACCAAGGCGCGCAACGAGACGTGCTGCCCAGAGCATGTCGAAGGCGAAGCCTTCAACCTCGCATGCGAGTTGACGCCTACCCAGCGCGACTTCTACAATCTGCTGGCTGAGCCGATTGGCCTGCCGTACGTCGAGACCATGGAGGTGGAGAGCAACAAGTCCGTGGTGCTCTTCCCAGACCACCAGCGGCGCGTTGTGAGCATACAGAAGGCGCAGGATGTTCTCCGCTTCGCGCCGACGGACCTCTCGAAGGCGCTGCGCTCTGTCGCCCGCTTTTATAACCGAGTCATGCTGGACGAGAAGAAATACAAAGGGGAACTCAAGCAGATCTACTTCAAGTGCGAGCAGATGCTCGGCTCCGACGGGCCGCGCTTTGTGGAGTGGACGCGGGCCTTCTACGCCGAGCAGCGCAAGACTGAGCTGTACGACCAGGTGGACGACGAGGACGAGGACGACATCGTGCTGTCCAGACCGCAGCCTCGGAGGCGCCGTAGGAGACGGAGACGAAGAGGCGGCGGCAGCGCCACTGCGCGCGGCGGCGAACTGTGAGCTGCATCCTCTGGGGTCCCGGCTGCTCCCGAGCCGCAAGCCCGCGCGGGGAAAGGTACTCCAGGTTTCGAGCGGTCGTCGCCAGGAATCGAAGACGAAAAAACGGCATAAACATAAACTTCTGGCACTCCGCGAAGATTTCTTGGATCTGCGCTGAGGCCCCTGGCGGCGCCTCCGGCCCCGCCCCTGGCGCGCTCCGCGCGCCAGGGAGGAGGGTCCAGCGCAGATCCAAGAAATCCGCGCGGAGCGCCAACATTTTCTGTTTATGGCGTTCTTTCTTTTCCTAAGGAAGGAAGCGGGCCTTGAGTCGGGGAACAAGTAATGACGTTCGGAGGTCCGCGCGGATTTCTCGTATTGGCGCTGGAGCCCTTTTGCGGCGCCTCCAGCGCCGCCCCCGGCGCGCTCCGCGCGCCAGGGATAGGTTCCATAGCCGATCCAAGAAGACAGCGCGGACCTCCGACATGCAATGTTTATGCAATGATATCTCCTTCGGTTGAAGCAAAAGTAACAGCAAATCCGAAGGTATCTCGCACCTCATTGGAATACAAGTCAGGATGAGGAGTTGGTCCCAGGGCGATGTCCCCAGGGTCCCGGGCGGTTGGATAACGTTTCTTTCATGCTGAGGGTGGTCAGGCGGACCGCAGCGGCATTCCGTCGTTGGGGAGGAGCAGGGGGCCGAGGATGGGAAAGGGACGGCAGGGAGTGGCAGGGGTTGTACGACAGGGTCGTCGGCCTTCCAGAGGGGCTCAGCCTCCTGCGGGTCGGGGAGATGTAAGTCAAACTCCCGTGATGTTCTCCTCGGACAGTCTCTTCTAGGAGCCGGGATTGGCACTTCCGATCGGGTTCCTTGACTCTCTCCCAGCCTGGAGCAACATTTGCTTGATACATGCGTTCTCATTTATTCTCATGTGCATGCAGCAGCAGTGTACGCCGCGCCGCACAGGCTCTTTCCTCGAGAGAAAATGTTTCCCCTGTAAGCTGGTCCATTCCCCAGTGAACTGGTCCACTCCTCGGTTGTAGGTTCAGAAGACCCTGAACTCTTCGAAGCTTTACAACCTTTTCTCCGGCGCTCCTTGGCAGCGTTTGAGGCGCTCCTTGGCAATTTTGACGGCGTTCCTTAGCATGTTTTGCTGCGCTCTTTAGCAGTTTTTCCGGCTTTCCTCAGCAGCTTTTACGGCGCTCCTCAGCAGTTGTTACGGCGTTCCGTCGTAGATTTTTACGGCGTTCTTTAGCAGGTTTCAGGGCGGCGATCCTTAGCAGTTTTTGAGGCGTTCCTCAGCAGCTTTTACGGCGCTCCCGGCTAATTCTCAAGGCGCCAGGCGCCCCTTAGCAGTTATTACGATGCTCCTTGGCAGCCTGTAAGACGCTCCTGGGCAGGTTTTCAGGCGCACCCTAGCAGCTTTTCAAGCGCTCCTTAGCAGCTCTTACGGCGCTCCTTGGCCTTCTGGCTTGTCCTGGGCCGTCTACGGGGCCCTCTGGGGCCCTCCTGGGCAGTTTCGGAGGCCTCCCAGTTTATGGGTTGCTCGCATATTCACTCGTCGTCGTCATTCGTGGCGGACCTCACGCAAGGAGGAGGATGAGGAGGAGCCTGGGATGAGGAGGAATGAGGGGAGGACGAAGGGGGGGATGATGATGATGATGATGATGATGATGATGATGATGATGATGATGATGATGATGATGATGATGATGATGATGATGATGATGATGATGCTGATGATGATGATGATGATGATGATGATGATGATGATGATGATGATGATGATGATGATGATTATGATGATGATTATGATGATGATTATGATGCTGATGCTGATGCTGATGCTGATGCTGATGCCGATGAGGAGGAGGTGGAGGAGGATGAGCATGAGGAGGATGTTGATCATGATGATGGTGCTGAGGACGCTGACGGTAGTGATGGTGGTGGCGATAGTGATAGTGATGGTGGTGATGATGGGGATGATGTTGATGGCGACGATGGCGACGATGCTGATGGTGGTGATGGTGATGGTGTTCATGATGACGATGATGACAATGTTGATCATGATGATGATGATCATTCTCATGATGCTGATGATGATTATAATGCTGATGATGATGATTATGATGATGATGATGGCGACGATGATGGTGAGGTTAACGACCGTGATGATGCTGATGATGGTGGTGATACTGATGATGATAAGGAGTGGTGACGATGATATATGGTTATGTTGATGATGATACCGATGCTGATGCTGCTGATGATGATGGTAATGCTGATGGGGATGATGATGATGATGATGATGATGATGATGATGAGTAATGAAGAATGATGCTGATGATGCTGATGATGAGGGTGATGGCAAAGATGGTGATTGTGATGATGATTGTGGTAGTGATGATGATGGTGATGATGATGATGATGATGATGATGATGATGATGATGATGATGCTGATGCTGATGATGATGACGGCGATGATGATGACGATGATGATGAGTATTGGGTTTGCTTAGTAGTTTGGGGCCCTGTTGGCAGTCTGGCTTGTCCTGGGCCGTCTAGGGGGCCCTCTTGGGCCGTCCTGAGCAGTTTCGGAGGCCTCCCAGTTTATGGGTTGCTCGCATCTTCACTCATCGTCGTCATTCGTGGCGAACCTAACGCAAGGATTAGGAGGATGAAGAGGAGCCTGGGATGGGGAGGAATGAGTGGAGGACGAAGGGGGGGATGATGCTGATGATGCTGATGATGATGAAGAGGAGGAGGAGGAGGTGGAAGAGGATGAGCATGAAGAGGATGATGATGATGATGATGGTGATGAGGATGCTGATGGTAAGGTAGGGATTCTGGCGGCGGTAGTGATAGTGATGGTGATGGTGATGGGGATGATGCTGATGGCGACGATGGCGACGACGCTGAATTTGGTGATGATGATGACGATGATGTTGAGCATGATGATAATGATCATCGTTATGATGCTGTTGATGATCAGAATGATGATGATGATGATGATGATGATGATGATGATGCTGATGCTGATGCTGATGCTGATGCTGATGCTGATGCTGATGATGGTGACGATGATGATGAGGATTATGACCGTGACGATGATGGTGGTAGTGGTGAAACTGATATGATGAGATAAGGAGTGGTGACGATGAGGAATGGTTATGGTGTTGGTGATAATGATGTCGATGCTTATGAGGATGATACTGCTACTGATGCTGATGAGGATGAGGAATGATGAGGAATGATGGTGACGCTGATGATGACGGTTACGGTGATGGTGATGATGTTGATTGTGAGGATGATGATGACGACGGTGATGATGCTGATTACGATGATGATGATGATGATGATGCTGATGATGATGATGATGATGATGATGATGATGATGATGATGATGATGATGTTGTTGTTGATGATGATGATGATGATGCTGATGCTTGGGTTTGCTTGGCCGTGTTGAGGCTCTGTTGGCAGTCTGGCTTGTCCTGGGCAGTCTAGGGGGCCTTCTTGGGCCGTCCTGAGCAGTTTTGGAGGCCTCTCAGTTTATGTGTCGGTCGCATCTTCACTCGTTGTCGTCATTCGTGGCGGACCTAACGCAACAAAGAGGAGGATGAGGAGGAGCCTCGGATGAGGA